AGGATAGACCACATAACAATAAAGGGAAACAGTGGTAGGAGTTGGATGGGATTTAGCTACTTCTGTGTTATAATTTCTCCGAGGATTATTTGGATCAGTTTCATTCAATATGGCGGGGGGGGGGAAATCCCTTGAGCAAGAATGTCAAATTTTATGGAAATTCTCATAGATGAGTTCAGAATTCTTGTGCATATTTTATCAATGAATTGTCTGAAGACTCTTGTCACTCAGTGTATTGTGCAGCTTCTCAAAACTCTTCACTCTATGGGCAAAGAAACTGGGGGAGTAATTTCTCCAAATTTCTTTAGGGGAAGGAGAAATTCTCTGACCATTTCTCACAGGTGAGACTTCCATTTGAAAGGTTATAGCAATGCTTTGTACTTTTTCATTTAAAAATTTTGTTCTTTATACTACTACTGTAACAGCAAGTATGCTGACAACTTGGCTGCCATTTTGATTTTTCCACAATACCTCATACCTAAAAGACATTAAAGGGCATTGTAGTGAAGAAATTTTGGAAAGTGGCTTTCTATATTTAGGGGAGTAAGAAAAAATAAAAAATATATTTTTCTAAGAAACTGAATTATGATAAGTTTTGGCTCAACACTTGCCATTCTTCAGGGTTCAGCACCTTCCCCAACCTTTGACATGCTGCATTTGAAGGAGCAATTTTAAATACAGTTTGTCTCTGTAATATAGCATAATCCCTATAATCCCTGAAGCAGATATGATGCTATGTACAACTGCAGAGAAACAGTGAAACTCTTATGGCATAACATGTCACAAATTTCCCAGTGGCCCCTCGGCTTTGGAACAACTTACCTGTTGAGATCCGCCTGGCTCCCTCGCTGAGGGCCTTCAAGACTAACTTGAAGACATGGCTATACAGGCAGGCCTTCCCTACAGCCATTACCTATGCTATCTCTTCTTTTCGTCTTTTTCTTTTCTCTCCTTCTTCCTCCTCCTCTTCTTTTCCCTCCTCTTTCTTTTTTCCCTTTCCCATCTTGGATTCATCTGAATTTTATCTTAGTTTATTTTTTATATTATATGTAAACCGCCCAGAGTAGGCATGTTCTAGATGGGCGGTATATACATCCAATAAATAAATAAACAAATAACATTTCCACATGAAAGTGAATGCAGTTATATAAGCATCTGCGCCAGAGGAAAAAAATAGCCTTCTGCAAGCCTAACATTAAAGAGACTCTGGTGGAGGTGCTGAATCCAAGGAATGACAAACGGTAAACCTTAATTTCTCCGAAGACATTTTTCTGAGAAACACTCTGAGATTTTTCTTTTCCTTGCTTCTCCAGAAATAGGGGGTCAATTTACAGATCTTCCCCCTGCTGCCCAACTAATGTGCCATTATCACGATATCCTAGAACAACACCAGGCAGAAGCCAGGTGGCCAGGCCATCACCAGAGTTGCTGCTGTTACCACATTTAATGGCAGCATACACACACAAAAAACCAGAAATTACTTGGAGAGGAAAAACAAAGCTATTTTACAGCACTTCTAATAATGAACCGCAGCTATGAGATTCTGCTGGAGACATGTAGTGGTTCCCCTCCCCCCTCAAGTTCTCTGCTCCTGAATATATTAGGGAATTTTGAAAGACCATCTGTGCACAACTGTAGGCTAAGCAAAATATCTGCCTAATTGGATAGTTCTGCCATTGAGTGTAGGTTCCTTTTTCGATGCCAATTTCCAACAGTCCCAACAACTCAGAATGTACAGTGTGGGATATGGGAATTTAAACCTTTGCCTCCATTTTGACTGTGGTCTTAGTTTCGATCAGGGCTCTGCACCCATCATTTCCACTAAAAAAAGAAAGATCCTACCCATTTTATCAGAGCCCCTTTTGCCGCACAAATGGAAGGCACGTGGTCCCAGTCAAGATAAGGCTCATAGCATGAAACAAACACTGTAGTTTAAAACTTCCTATACTATGCCCTATGATCTACATCCAGAGGAGCCCCTAGTGGTTTCTGCTTTATTCAGCCACCTCCCAACCTGATGCTATTCAGATATGTTGGGCTACAATATATGTAGTCAACTACAGGAGGGAGAAGTGATCTCCAGAGGTCTGGGAACTGCCACCACTTTGGATGGCTACACCTGTAACCACTCCTACAATTCCCACCCCTGTATACATGTCTGTATGTGTGCATACACAGATGTATGAAGTGGGGGGCCCAAGGCTTGCAGAACACCACTCAAAACACGGCAACATTCCCTCTCCCCTCTGGAGAGCATACAGGAATTGTGAAGGAGGTGCAGGAGTGCTGCATCTGAGGGGTGCTGGATCCCACCTCTAAACGAGTTGATGGGAGCCATAGTCCAATACATCTGGAAAGCATTAGGTCATGAATGCCAAATGTAGCTCAATATATTTCTTTTTTTTCCCTATTCTGCCATGAAAAAGAGCATGTGATACCTTGCTAATTCTAATTCCTCTCCCAAGGAATTAATATTTTAAAGATTTGAATTTCTACCCCAGAGAAAAACATTCACACCAAGACTGTGACAATAGCCCAACAGCCCCTAAACTTTTATTAATTTCATTTAATTTTAGTTTGCTTTATTTAAAAAGAAAAACAGCATTCAGCTAAGAGAACTGCCTAGTGCTACCAGCCCATTCATCCAAAAAACACTCATACACTTGTGTTAGTTTGCAAAACAGCTATTCAGTTAAGGTCCCTTTTACTTAACGCCAATTAGAAGCAGCTATTTTTAACTACATGAGTTTGGGAACACAGATGGGAGGCCATTCTGCTGAAAATGCAGCAACTGAAAAGCCACAAACTTATATAGGGCAAATTAAAAAAAAAACTTGAATGTTCTGGTTGTATTTAATAAATAAATACTGGGTTGTATGTCAGATAAATATAATCTTTTTTTAAAAAATCACAGAAGGAAATATTTTAAGATGATGTATTGAAAGCTGCTTAGGGCAGTATATTAAGATATTGGCTGAAATCCAGCAGTAAGTTTCAGCTAGAATTGACACACTGATGAAGTGGGGATTTGGTGAGTCAACTCCTCTGTATGTTCCACTGATTCAGTAAGACTACTGCAATTGTTTGTGACTTACTGCTGGATTTCAGCCATTGTAGTGGATGTCCACATTTTAACATCTATGTATTTTATAACAATGCTCATGTACTTCTTGAATGCCAATGTTGTCAGGAAGAACACTATCAAAAATGAAATAGAAAAGTAAAAGATTCTATTTAGGAAAGGTGAGACATTTTTATTTGGAGTGCCTAAAAATTAATTATCTGTGTAAGAAGGGATTCTTAAAATGGGAATGTTATGTTTCTCTGTTTTTAATGTGTTTTTACAACTGTTTTAATCTACTAGTATTAATAGTAATATAATAATATAATGATAATGATAATAGTATTAATAATATCCAATATTGTACTTGTTTATTTAAAAAATATCGCAACAATTTATTGTTATTAACATTTAATACTGTATGTTTTTTAATACTGTAGGCCATCTTGGGTCTTTCTTAGGAGAAAGGTGGGGTATAAACATTTTAAATCAATCAGTCCGCCACTCAGTCAATAAAATCCACACTCTAGGAACTACAGAAATTATCAGAAATTTCCATTTAAACAAAGAGAATCCTGTGTGATATACAGCTATTATGGGCTAGGGTTGGAAATATCAGGGTTCAAATCTCCACTGAAATAGAAAGCTCATGGGGTGAATATACGTCAGTCAATATCAACATAACCCATGGCACAGAGTTGTGATTAGAAATGGGCAAAGAATGAACCATGAACCAAAAAAAGCCCCAATGTGCTGTGCTGGTTCATGGTTCATTTCACAACCCCATTTGGGAATCCTGCTTTGTCAAAACAAAATGAAAAACCAAACTTTTTTCCCCTTTGGTGTTTCATTGACTGCCTGCCCCTTCCCAGTGCCCCTGTTGCCTCTACCTACCTGCTCCTGCCATCACCACCCTCACCATCACCACCACTGTGGGTGCGATCCTCAGAGGCAGACCACCTGGATTCTCTGCCAGGAGCCTGCCACTGCCTCTGAACAGCCACCCATGGTGGCAGCAGTGGCAGTGGTGAAGGAGGCAGAGGTGGAAGCATCAGGAGCAGGGAGCCCCCCCCAACACAAGCCAGAAAAACAAGCAACAAACTGGTTTAATTTTTGTCTGGGGGTTCTTGGTGGTTCACAGTTTGTGATCAGCCACCAACCATAAACTATCACAAACTACCAGTTTTCCAGTTCATGCCTATCTCTAGTCATGATAATAATGACCAAAAAAACAGTATACACTGCTTTGAAAGGCAGAGTACAACAAACAATAAAACAATAATAGATGTATCTGTGACTTATCTGAGATATATTAAATTACTAACATGTAAGGAAGTCACATGTCACCATCACATTTTAATTTAGTGTCACATTACTGTTGTATTAACATAATATTCTTTACCCCATGAAGGCTACACTCTGAGAATAAGCTTCATTGACCAACGTGAGACGTAAGTTTGCATAAACATGCATAGGATCACACTGTAAGGTGAACTTCTTTGAACTATCGTATTTACTGATTTAATTGGGTTGTTTTTAAACTGCCTTTTAGGATAAATTATTCTCCCATGGCAATTTACAACAGTCAATAGCACAACATGATGAAATTGCAGGCAACAATGGTAAAACATTTAAAGAACTGTAAAACATTTAAAGAACTGTATCACATAAATTAAATAAAATGGAAGCATACAAACAAGATACAACTGAAGCCATTTATAGGACAGGAAAGGGTACAGAAATATCCAAAGACAACAGTATGTAGAAGTCTCTATGTCTATCCACTCCTAAATGCAAGTCAGCAACTCTGCCTTTTAAAAACAATGTCCTTCTACAACTGAAAAGGGAAAAGAGAACCCCACTTCTTCTCCTTCTAGGGTTCTCTGAGTTATTTCAGGGAGGGGAGAGAAAGGTTAGCCAAAGAAATTTGATATCTAACCTGGTTTCTATGTGCCATTTTCTGTCCCTTTTTCCATCGGAGTACAGGCTTGAGTGCAGGTAATTCTTTTTCCTTCCTTGCCGTTAAATGTTCTCCAAGGCTATACACAGCTTCAAATACAATTGGTGATATCACATCTTTGACTCTTTTCTGTAAGATTTAAATGAAAGAGAGAATGAAAATCAAATAATAAACTGGAATCTCTTTTGACGTTTTGCATATCTGGAAGAAAATGCCAGTGACCTCTCGTGCAGCATCACCTCTGCACCCCTCTCTCTCTTTCACACTCAAATGTTTTATTACCTTTCCCAGTCTATTCAAATTCTCTTTTTACATCTTATAACTGAAATTATGGCAATTTAATGTCTCGGGCTTAAACAGGTTTCCAAAACTACTGCAAAATATCCGATTATCTCTATCTGTCTTCTAAAATTCTGGGTCTGTTTCAGAGAGTTTAATTGTATGTACTTCAGCAGGATTCTTTATCTTTACAACAGATAAATGGGCCATTTATGGAAAGGGATGTCTCCCTTCCCACTGCGTCTACAAGCCATGAGCCACAAGGGCTTCATACCAAAAATTTCAAAGGGAGCAAACCTGCATGCTTTTGCTCTCAAGTGAATGAGGAAAGTGATATATAAGTCAACCCGCAAAGCATTCAGGTAGAAGCAACACACTAAAGATGGAAAGGATACTGGCTGAAGACCTCATTCTTGATCATTTAGCTTGCCTTGACAGGATGAGTAAACTTGATGAAGATTTTTAATACCTTTGAGAGTTTGCCTCTCTAGCCAAATGCAAAACAAAGACCTCTTTTTCCTCCCTCAAGGTCTCCATAATTTCTGTGAAATGTCTCTGTGTCCTTTTCCTTTGAGAAGGAAAAGCACATGTGTGTGCACGCGCACACACACACACACTCACACACACACGGATACATACAAGGAGCGAGTATAGGAAGCCTAGTGCTTCAAATTCTGAAATACAACTCCCTAGAAGTCAACAGAGAGTCACCTATGTGGCGTGATGAATCATACCAGAATTTCAAAATGTAGGACAATATTATGTACCTGTATCTCCCCAGCAAATCAGGAGAGGAGGATGCTCAGATTATAGAATGAGTGGGGTGTTTAACCCTCCAGCTCTTACTTACTTTCAGAATTTGCTCCCCATGCCCTCACCCCATGGCAATGTGTAACCTAGCAAACAGTTTGATAAATCAAACAAGATTCTCCTGTCTAGTTTGGCCTTTATAAACTGCTGAAAGAGACTATTTTCCATCTTCATTGGTGTAAAGGGACTCAGTGTGGCAGAGTTTCTGAATCCTGACCTGAAAGAAGTGCTAGAAGCAGAGACTCATGCTAAGAGCTTATTAAATTAAAGATGACATTTGGAAGCATGGCTGGCAGCTACCAGACAACCTGTTCTGCTCAATGCCTGCAGTTACTGCATGATCCTAACATTTGCTAGGAAGGAAAGAATAACAAGCAATTAAGCCTTCCTTTTGCTGTGTCCAAATCCTGGTCCTCATTATTTTTATTTTTGCCACTGACTACAGAAGAGCCAGAATGGCATATTAAAGAAGAAAAACAGAAATGAGTATTTGGATGGATTTTAAGTAATACACACCCATAAGGCGTTTATACTGCTTTCACTAGACACGCATGCAAAAGGAAAGGGCTCTTGATAAAGCTGACAACCCTCAGTTTAATCCAGTGGTTCTTAACCTTTTTGAAAGAAACGCTCCCTTGAGCCATTGAGGAAGTTATCATCGCCCCCCCTCCCCGTAGTGATGATACCCTATCTATCTATCTATCTATCTATCTATCTATCTATCTATCTATCTATCTATCTATCTATCT